TTGCCTTTTCCTCTAACAGACAGCAAAGTATCCAGACCCCCCCACCAGGAACTCTGTGTTAATTCAGTTCCATGTATTTCTGCTGGGGAATATGCGATTAAAACACACCACTAACACGCTCATCTCCCCTCTTGTGTCCCCGTTTCTATGCCCCGAGAGGAAAAAAAATGACAGCGATGGCACAGCTAAATAACAAGAAGCCTTCTTTTCTGAATAAAGTCATTAAATAAACCCCTCCAAAATGTCACCAGCCCCCATGTCCTCCCCCTGTGATTAGGAAGGGGAGGCAGGATCCTCTGGGAGGGCAGCCCCTTGCCCACCCCGCTGGAAGGGAGCGCGCTGCCAGGCTGCCTTCCAGAGCACCGCTGCTCCTGCTGCTGCTAAATCCTCCTCTCAGCTGGGCTGTCCTGCATTTTAGAGCTGAAGGAGGCTTGTTTTCCATTCCCATTTTCATACAGCAGCTGGCAAGGGGCTGGACGGCGATGCAGAAGGAGGGCCCTTGCTAATAGGGGACCAAAGTGTCAGCTTGACTCCTCTAGGAACGACTTGGCGGGTGACAAATGCATTTCTTCGGAGGGATTTTCCTCCCAGACTGCAGGAGGCACTAATTCCAGCCCCCTTCCCTCTCCCTTTCTCCTCGTTCCCCTCACTAGGATCAAAAGGATATTCCCACCTCATCTGGTGGGAAGTGTCTCTGCCCAGGGCAGGGCGGTTGGAATTCCATGGTCTTTAATGTCTCTTCCAACCCAAAACATTCTGTGGTATCTCCTAGTCCAAGTGAAGCCACGTTGGCAAGACCAAGGAGGAGTCCCCCCCACACTGCTGCAGTGCACAGCACGCTCCTTCAGCCAACGGACCACACTTGTGGACAGCCCAGCTCCTGAGTTTTCACCAAAAACTCTCAAAAGGTGCTAAAATTCTGTCCTGAGCCCCATTCAAGGTCTTCCTGTCCTCATACCGCTACAGCAAGAGCCTTCATGTCAAATGGGAGATGGCTTTGTAGGTCACAGGCAAATAATTTGATATAAATATACAAATAATAAAAGCCTATATGTAGGAAGCCACGGCACCTCCTCAAGAATCCCTTTCTTTTCCTCCAGTCCCAAATAGTTGCTTGTATTGCCTCCCATGTAGACTGTTCTTTCTTGGGTCTCACCACCCGATCTCAAAGTCCATTCTTCACTCGTCAGTGCTATCAGGCTGGGAGATATCATGACACAAAATTTGCTGCTGCTCCAGCAAACTGAACCAGGTCCTGTTCTAGATCAGGGCAAATCATTCCTGAAATGTGAAAAGACATGGTCGGGCTGCCCCCTCGCACTTCTAACCTGCAGTTTGTCAGGAATACCTGAAATCTGGGATGTGTGATCTCTGACCTGCTGGAGAGCTAGAACAAACGGAGCAGGACCCTCCAGTGCAGCTTTCTCTCTCCTTCTGTACCAGCATTTGGTGCCTAAATATACACATAGTGGTTTCCCATAGAGTGCCAAAATCCTGGCTACTTGGGTTTGTGATTAAAAGGCTCACAGAATCATAGAATGGTTTGGGTTGGAAGGGATCTTAAAGATCATTCAGTTCCAACCCCCTGCCCTGGGCAGGGACACCTCCCACCACACCAGGTTGCTCCAAGCCCCATCCAGCCTGGCCTTGAACCCCTCCAGGGATGGGGCAGCCACAGCTTCTCTGGGCAACCTGGGCCAGGCCCTCACCACCCTCACAGCAAAGAATTTCTTCCTAATATCTCATCTAAATCTCCCCTCTTTCAGTTTAAAACCTTTACCCCATGTCCTGTGTCTCCCCTCCCTGATCCAGAGTCCCTCTCCAGCTCTCCTGTATCTTCAGATACTGGAAGGCTGCTATGAGGTCTCCCCAGAACCTTCTCTTCTCCAGGCTCCATGGTTTGAAGAAGACACAGCCTGTAGGACCAGTACAAGCTCCCGAAAGATACCCCTGTGCTCAGGCACATGTGAGGGAAGAGCAAAGACAGCCAGCTCTTGCATCTACTCGAGGAGATTTGCTGCTTGTTCAGCTGGATGTTTGGAACGATGTCTTTCGGCCATTTAGTTCATGATCAGGCCTTTGGGGTCTGGAAAAGCCCCAGCACAAAAGCTGAGAAATACGATCCTCATTCCCACTTGGAGATTGAACGAGTTAAACTCTGGGATGTTCCATGTGTCTTTTGGCTACTGTATTAAGTGAATGATTCACTGAAGTGTGAAACTGTTGGCTTTTTAGAAGCAGACACGCATCCCTAGCTTTTTAATGTTGACAAGGTTTGCCTATTTCAGCCCAAACTGGGGGCTAAATTTTCCCAGTGCTTCCTTATCGCATCGAGCTTGCATCTACTCGAGGAGATTTGCTGCTTGTTCAGCTGGATGTTTGGAACGATGTCTTTCGGCCATTTAGTTCATGATCAGGCCTTTGGGGTCTGGAAAAGCCCCAGCACAAAAGCTGAGAAATACGATCCTCATTCCCACTTGGAGATTGAACGAGTTAAACTCTGGGATGTTCCATGTGTCTTTTGGCTACTGTATTAAGTGAATGATTCACTGAAGTGTGAAACTGTTGGCTTTTTAGAAGCAGACACGCATCCCTAGCTTTTTAATGTTGACAAGGTTTGCCTATTTCAGCCCAAACTGGGGGCTAAATTTTCCCAGTGCTTCCTTATTGCATCGAGAAAATCCTCCTGCTCGTTATTGAGCAAAAATGAACGAGGCACCTATGGCAGCTTCCTATTGTCCAAAAACGGGAGTTGTTCTATCAAATTTTCTGTTTATGTCTTCCTTATCGCATCGAGAAAATCCTCCTGCTCGTTATTGAGCAAAATGAATGAGGCACCTATGGCAGCTTCCTGTTGTCAAAAACGGGAGTTGCTCTATCAAATTTTCTGTTTATGTGGTCGCTTGACAGCGATCCAGGGGAAAAGCTTGGAGATGCCTTTTCCTTAGCCAGCTTCTTTCTCCTTCAGTAATTACTGAGCAGCAGCTTAACATAAATTTAGCTGCTCTATTACTGCAACTACTGATGCAAGTGGAGCCCACAATAGGTACACGAAGGAAGGGAGACCAGAGTTGTGGGCTTATTTTCAGATGCTGACAAACTTATTAGCCATTCAGTGTCCCACCAGGAAGCATGTGCCCAGAGAAATAAATGAGGCTGGTGCACTTCATCCTAAACTGATTTAGCCATACTGAGAAGGATGAGAGTAATTGGAGCTGGAAGGAACAATTTTTGCTGTGCCTGCTTCCTTCTTTTCCTAAACACAACAGCACAAAGGGGCTGATTTGTTCGCGTGGCCAAACAAAAACTCCCAGAGGTTTCTGTGGGAGCAGAATTGCACCCGAAATCTTAATCCTTTGCAAGTAGCCAATGTTTAAGAGGCATGACCTCCAAACAGAAGCGCCTGGGACACATTGGAGAGGCAGAAGGTCTCACTTCCATTATGCCAAAAGATTCAGGACGTTCACATGAAGCAGCAGTGGTGATGTGAGTGAACAGAGAAAGAGGGGAAAAAGGAAGATGCTAATATTTATTTAGATATTTATCCGTGGAAGTTAGAACGCTGGTTCGCGTTGTTTCAGGCAGGAAGCTTGTGAAGAGGGAAATGCTGCCAGAAAAAAAAACATTAAAATCTGTCTCTACCAACACCTCTCCCGTTCCTGCCTTCTCTCCCCTCCTCCAGAATATTGCAGCTAGAGAAAAGTAAAATGAGTGAGTGGCAAATCTTGTTCCGCATCTTGCCTGCCAAAAATTATCCATATCTGTTCAATGGCTCATTTAATTAGCTGCCTCTCTCTCTCCTTCTCCACCAGTTTTGGCCTAACACTTTCAGCTGGAGCCTCTACATGTGAAGACCAAGGTTGAGGAGGGCAGAGGTGAGGGAGGAGAGAAGGGGAAGAAAAAGAAAGAAAACTCCTTACCTACAAGCTAAGCAGTCATGCCAGGAGAGGGGACGGAAGTGGTACCCTGCCCTACAGGAAAACAAGGACCTCTATTTTAAACACCATGTTATCGTCCCTTTATTCTACACTCTCCCCCCACCTCATTTCTCCAGGAAGGGGGAAACATTCACTGGTCTGTTACACATCACTGCTAATCTGTGAACCCCACCATCTACAAGCCACTTTTTAATTATTTTCATGATCAGCGTAATGACAAAATCCTCCCAACAGCACGGTATCCTCTCACTGCCCGTCAATCAAAGCACATCTCCTTCAATTGCCAGGAAAGTCCTAGGGGAGCCTGAAGGATTCACCACAAAATCACAAAGAATTTCCTAGGAGATCTGGAGGGCACGGATGGCTAGTACAGCAGTTTCCTAAACTCCCCTTCAATAGAAGAATGTCCTCTCTCTGCCTGTTACTGCTTTTTCCTAGTGATGGAGTATAAAACGTGCCATTTCTCTCAGAGCTGCCTGCTCAAAATCCATTAAACCCCTTGTCCTACACCCCCCACTCCCGCCAAAAGCCATCCTTCCCCTCCCTGCTGGATTATAAAATTTTCCTGTTAATACACCCTATCGATCTGCAATGTCAGACTGGATGCCAGCATTCAAATCCGAGCCTTTCTCTAGTTCCAACGCGTGATAAACACTCTCCGTGCATCCAATTCTATACAACTTGCATCTGTTTGTACAGCCTGGGCAAGCAGGCAGCACCCCCAACCCCCCCACCCCTCACTGCAGGGGATTTCTCAAAAGATTTCTTTGCTAGTGAACAAATGCCACGCAGGCAGGCGGCTGCACCATCCTACCAAGGCTGGAGTTTTACTAACAGAAAGGTTTTGAGCTATTGGGAGAATTCAGTTCTCTCCTTATTCCTTCCCTTCTCCCTTCCCATCAGCCCCCCTCCAGCCATTATCCAAATCCAGTCAGATTTTTTTATTCAGGTGGGGGAAAAGACCAAGGAAAGAGGGATAAGGAATGGAGAAGAGAGGCAATGGGGCATATTTCCTTTTCCAAAAAAAAAAAAAAATAATCATAGAATAGAAAGTGTACTTACTGTATCCTCAAAGACTATCCAGCTGGAAATCCGAGCGGTTACGAAAAACCAGGGTGGGGGAGGGGTTTGAAAACTACTTCATTTCAGCAAGCAAACCAAAATTAAAAACAAGAAAGGAAACCAAAATAGAGGATATCCAATGGCAATTTCCCAGCAATTTCAGTCCATACAGGTGCCAATCCAACCCAACACTGCTGAACTCTCCCCCTCCGGCAATTTTGCTTTCTTCTCTGTCCTTTATTTTCTCTGTGGCTTTCAACTTTTCTGCTTGAAATTGCTGTAGTGGTAACGCCGATGTTTGCCTTCACTGGAGAAGAGTGGCTTAAAATAACAGGAAAAAAGCAAAAATCCTTGCAGAGGATGAATGGTCCTTCTCCTTTCCGAAAGTTTTCATTCCACTGTGGATCCTTTGCCTAGTTTCCTTTTTCTGAGGTTTTCTGCCTCTCTGGCTCCAATGCTCTCCATTGCTCACTATTCATTTTTTCTCCGGAGAGCAGAAAGGACTTTATTTCTTTTTAAGCAACCCTCCATCTGGATTCTTTTAATGGAATTTTGTTGTGACTGTTAAGATCCAGGTCTTGCCAGGCAATTTTCTTCTTCTCCCTTCTTTGCTGCACTATCAATTATCCAATCCGTGGGTCTCCACATTAGAACGGGGATTCCCATTCTTCTTTTTCTCTATCCCCCACACTCCTTTAGAAAAGAATCTCCTTTTGCATTGAAATTTTTGGTTGCGTCTGTCAAAACAATAAACTTTTAGTCTCTCTCTTCCCCCACCCCCCCCTCCCCAAGCTCCAAAGATCTGATTAGATTTCCAATCACAACCCAGTGCGCAATTGGATTTTTGATTTCGGCGAGAAGGCAGCAATCCACAGCATCAGCACCCTCTCCTCGCTCCAAACTCCACGTTAGATCCTTTCGCCTTCCCTCCAACTCCTCTGCATTTTCATAATCTCACATTAAATGGAAGGAAGGAGGGAGGGAGGGAGCGGAGAAAAAATTCAAGGTTCCCACCAGCTGTCAAGAAGAAATCCATCCCCTCGTTATTTTTTAAACACTTGGGATGGGTGTTTTTAACGCCCACTCTCCCCTTTGCCCCCCACACTTCTCAAAAATCTTTCTGATGTTAAAACTCCCCCAGTGGGGCACAAAAGAAGCCCGGGGAGGCGGGATTTGTCCTCTTAGCTGTAAATTTCACAAGCACCCTTTCCTTTTCATTTCAGATTCCTCTCCATCTTTTGTCCAGCAGCTACACAAGATCCAGCAGCACCGAGATGGATAAACTTCTGCTTCTTCTTTGAGGAGAGAGAGGGGAAAGACAGAGAGGAAGAAAGATAAAAGCTCTCCGGTCTCTGCCTCCCTTTCCTCCCCTTCTCTGTTTCAATGCAGGTCTGATCTCATTTCCAAGCTCAGCCTGCCGTATTTCACATCTACAAGTTGGATTTCCCTTCTGCACGGCAGCGAGTTAGTCTCCCATCTTCTTCCACATGCCCGTTATCTTCCCCCTTCTCTTCCTTCCTTCCTGCCTCCCTCCCTTCCACGATGACACATTCCCGGGAGCGCGGCCGCTTCTCTCAGTTTGTGCTTTCATCCCCGAGACGCCCAGCCTTCGCCCGGCTGGAACCCTTCCTCCCTCCCATCAGCTTCAGCTGGAATTCTCCCTGTGTGTGCCCGCACGCACGCATGGATGTGTCCATCCAGCTCCTGCCGCTGCCGTTGCCGTTGCTTTTCCGTCGCTCTCTCCAGCTTTCTCTTACTCCCCACCTTTGGGTGACACCCCAGGATTCGCCGATGTCCCAGGGCCAGGCTTCCAGCCTACACTCCTCCTTCTCCCCTTCCCTTCTCTCCCCCCCCCCACTTCTTTTTTTTTTTTTTTTTTTTTTTCCCCCTCTGCTTGTGATCAGTAAAATACAATTACCCAATTACCTCCCATCATCTTAGCACTGATTGGTCAATGCCATTAACACTTGATGTCAGGGAAAGGCTGCGGGAGCCGCTCCGACGTGGCGCTGCTGCCACCTGGCGGTCAGTCCGGGAACCAACCCGGGGTTACACCTTCCCAAACCTCCCAAGGCGGAAAAGCAGGCAGGGAAAAAAAAAAACAAGGGATCGTCTTCAGGAAAGGAACGTCCAAACTCATTTTCTTAAAAGCCTGCCCGATTCTGACACTTCCACCGCTATTCGCAGGTACCGGCCCAGCCGCTGGAGCAGGGGGAAGGACAGAAAATGAAATGAGCTATAAAGGTGTCTTCGCAAAAGAAGCACCAAACGACCGGGATTCAAAGGTACCAGCTCTGGCCAGGATAAAATGAAATGAGCTATAAAGTTACCTTTGCAAAAAAAAAACCAACAAAAACATAACGGTGGAAAAAATTCACATGGGAAGACAATCTGTTTTAGAATTGCAGAAATAAGTGTTGGGTTCAAACCCGTATACACATACGAGTTACCTAAAACTCCGTTTTATAGAATCATAGAACTGTCTGGGTCAGAAGGGACCTTTAAGATCATCTAGTCCAACCACCAACCTAACTCTGATTAAAAAAGCAAACAAAGAAAACCATACACACACCCCCCAACCCCAATCACTAACCCATGTCTCAAAGCTCCATGTCAACCCGTTTTTTAAACACCTCCAGGGATGGTGCCTCAACCCCTTCCCTGGGCAGCCCATCCCAAGGCTTAAGAACCCTTCCAGTGTAAACATTTTTCCTACTCTCCAATCTGAACCTCCCCTGGTGCAACTTGAGGCCATTTCCTCTTGTCCCATCGCCTGGGACTTGGGAGAAGCAGATGTTTCAGCCCTGTGAAGCGCTTCAAGGTTTCAGTGGGTTTAAGTGCCAGCTCTGGTGAACTGTTAAGTGCCAGCAACACACCAGGACAGTGTCGAGACTCACCCATCAAATCTGCTGCAGTTTGGTTAGAATGGCTTTGAGCAGGGTTTTTGAGATTTCTAAACTGACTCCCTAAATTTGGGCTAATGAAGTACTAACAGGTCTGTCACCTACTTTCCAAGGCACCTTGGATGTACTTACATCTGTTACCTAAAATGCTCGTGTCTTGTTTTTCAGGGACCTAAATTCAATAGAAATTTTACAGAAAACTTTGCACGTACATAAAGTTAGACGCGCTGCCCTCTCCTGCACCAAGAGAACCAGAGTACGGATGATGTATGTGCCGGCATTTGTCTCTCTCAAAATCAGAAAGAAATTATTTATAGATCTCACTCCTCCACACAATCCCAAAGAAGGAATTAGTCAGGCGCTTTCTTGGTAATTATAGCAAACTTGGTATATTAAGCAGTAGCTGGGAGTTATTCCGTGCATGCAATAACATCGCCGGCTCTCTGCTCAGTCCTGTCTCTAAATAGCCAGGTTATATTCAGTACCTTCTACTTAGCCTTCACCTTTGGTGTGGAACCGGCACACTTGAAAATAAAAGAAAAGATTTTGTTAAGTTATATGTCCTATTATAAGTTTTTCTAGAATTATAAAATCCATAAGCTGGCAGAGTTCAGTCATATAACACTTACTGAATCATTACCATTGACTTTCAGATTTATTCTACTGACTCAGCGGGCTTTCTGGTGAGAAAGTTCCACCAGCTAGAAGTTAAGCAGCTGGAACCATCTCCTTAATCACTGTTAGGTCATTTAGCATCTGATCTTACTGTCACTGGCATAAATGACAAACAGAAATTACCTCCAATGGGTGAAACACCGAGTGCATAGCAACAGCGAATAACCCAAATAGAATGGTCTTTCAAGAACACTAAAAAAGACACTGGGGACTTTTGGAGAAAACTGCAGCGTGACAGGAGATGAAGTTGCTGACAAGTAACAATCTTTTTCTCAGTTTGTGAGCTTATTTAGTTCCTGTCTGATTCATTGATGCTGTTAGTGTATTTTGGGCCTGCAAGCATCTTAGAAGAGTCTTTTTCTTTTTACTAGTTAAAATCCGAAAAGCCACAAGGTTGTTCCTTTTCCCAGAAGAATAAAACCATCGCAGGTTAATACATGTTTGCCCCACTGCTTCCTTAAAAAGTTTCTGAACAATTTCCTGCTGATATTGAAGAGCCTGTGAGCAAAAAGTGAAGGGTTCTGTAACTGAAGTCAACAAATAAATGGGTGTCAAAGGCAGAAGACACACAGGGGGGATCTAATCAGAGTCTAAGCCACAAGCATTCACAATAACTACAGCTTCTCTCTGGATACAAACTAATATTTCACTTTTGATGGAAATTTGCATATTTTGTAGTTTTTTTATGTCATTCCAATTCCATCAAAATACACATTTCTAACCAACATACGCCAGTACTTAAGTAAATGTACATCCACATACACGCACAAAGATAATATATTTTCTGGTATAGATGTGACTAAACACAAAATTAGTCTCTCGAATGCAATATGCTGTAGGCTATGATATAATCTTCTCTCTTAAAATTTGTTATTTTTAATATACCAATTATGCTTTATCACCTAATAAACACAGAAGATAGAGCGATTAGCTTCTTAGAACATAATTGTTAAGGAATCCAATTTGTGATATTTATGAGATGACACTGCTTCCTGTACAGAAAGGTAAGTGTCTTTTTAATAAACAAAAATGAAAAAATATAATTGTATTATCTGTTTTACAAATGTGCATGCCATTTAACCTGCAAAACCTCCTTAAACCAAATATTTTAGTATTATCACAATAAGCCATTCACTCATCAAACATGAAAAGGGAATCATTAGCACTGGACAGAATGGTTTGTGTGACTTTTTTCCTGCTGTACATCATGTGTTGTTGCCTCCAAGCGACATTGTTTGTGTATTGCCTTCAATCTGCTATTTTGCAGCTTTTTCTGTGCAAGATAAACAATTCCCTACACGTCCATTCACCAAAGCCATCCAACTTGGTGGGCTGATACTCAAAATGAAAGCCCCGTGGAAAACTTGGGATGACACACATGATGTGGTGTTTTACTGGCACTGACAAGGTGGGACAGAGGAAATATCCTGAGGTCTCCTGTTAAGTTCCTAAACTAGGGAATTGCTATCCATCATTCCCCACCGCCGGGCACACTCAGGAGGAGAGACAATTAGGAGCAGCTGGTACCAGGTCTTCTCCCGGAGTGGGACCTGCCCTGGCCCCGCTACCAATCCCAACCACAGAGCACAGGACACTGGGGCCTGGTTCCTCTTATCGACCAAGATCACCACGAATCAAAAGTGTGAACCGTGAAGAAAAATAAACACACACTGTCAAGGCAACTTTGCCTTTCATGCAATGGGGCAAGCATGCCTGATCCTCAGTATGGCAGGATAACTAAACTCAAATTTTTTTTGAAAGCCAACCCCATCCTGGGCTGCATGCCCAGAAGCATGGCCAGCAGGGCAAGGAGGGTATTCTGCCTCTCTGCTTCCCCACCGCCGGGCACACTCAGGAGGAGAGACAATTAGGAGCAGCTGGTACCAGGTCTTCTCCCTGAGTGGGACCTGCCCTGGCACCGCTACCAATCCCAACCACAGAGCACAGGACACTGGGGCCTGGTTCCTCTTATCGACCAAGATCACCACGAATCAAAAGTGTGAACCGTGAAGAAAAATAAACACACACTGTCAAGGCAACTTTGCCTTTCATGCAATGGGGCAAGCATGCCTGATCCTCAGTATGGCAGGATAACTAAACTCAAATTTTTTTTGAAAGCCAACCACATCCTGGGCTGCATGCCCAGAAGCATGGCCAGCAGGGCAAGGAGGGTATTCTGCCTCTCTGC